ATGTATAATATGTATGTACATTTGTATTATGTATGTATCTTCTTTTTTATACTTTATTTTGTTTTAGTCAGCGTTTCACTGTGTATGTTTTTATCAATAAAAGGAATAATTTCTTTAACAAATTTTTATTTCCCTTGAACGGACACACAAACGAAAGTTCCATTGGGCGGACAATTTTCTCTCATACGGACAGTTCCATTAAGCGGGCATTTTTTGAAGCACCATGCGTGTCCGCTCAAAAGAGATTTGACTGTATTATTTTTTAGCAAACTGTATATAAATATATCAACTTTAATTCGTGAACTCAGTTTTTTATAAACTTTAGTATTATTTTACAGGGTTAATCGAAGGGTTGTTTTTTACCCTCACTTTAAAACGCCCTGTGAGCTAATTTCGTCAGCAAATTTTCCTAAATCATTATTTTTCGGTCTGAATCATGCCTCCTGAGCATTTAGTTTTTCGACTCATGTCAATACATGCTTTGGTTAATTTTTAAGAGCAAAATGAATTTGCCATATCCAATTTTCAATTTTTTCAATTATCAATACTTTTTTGTGTTATTTTTCTACGTTACTACGTGGCTTTGGTGATTACTGTTGTAATATCATATTTAAAAAAAAGCCCAATACTAAAGTTTATAAAAAAACTGAGTTTACGAATTAAAGCTGATATATTTATATACAGTTTGCTAAAAATTAAAAAAAAATTAACACTTTAAATCTGACGAACACATTTTCCGTTGCGTTTTTTTGCATCTGAGAAAAATATCAAGAAATAGCAAGAAGGTTTGCTTGCTTTTTTCTATGTTTTATAAGGAAATAGTTTATAAACAAATGCTGCTATATATTTTTTAACTCAGATAACGTAATGCGTCAAATCGTCACAATTCGTTTTTGTACGTATACCATAGTATGAATATTATACAGTAGTCCAGTCTAAAGCTGATGTAAAGTGAAGAACAGGTAAGACAGGTGAAGAACAATATGTCTTACAGGCTTCTAACGTATTACCAAATTAATATATTTAAATACAAAGAACATAGTTTCCTGTATATACTTATATTATAAATTGCTTAGCTGTTAACTCTAATAAAATGCAATAATTTAGACGTTATCTTGTTGTAGAAACCATGTATAAACAAAATATGTTTTTATAAAAAAAAAATATATATTGATATTCTTTTGAGAGTAAATAAAATCAATAATAAAATCACTAAACACGCATAAATATAATATCGTAAATCTGAATCATCACACAAGACGCAAAAAATATTTTAGTTTTAGTTTTCTACCATTTTTTAAATAAAAAGAGTGATTAAAAAGAAGAAGAAAGATAGATTATTCCAGGTGGCTATCGGGCTGATCTACTGCAACCTTTTCGGATCTATCCTAGTCCTCTTTTTGATCCTTAACTGATCTCCAGCCCTATCTTTTTAAAAAAGTCTAGCATCTTGGGAACTGAATCCCTCATATAGCTAACTATGTCAATGGTCTATTATTGCCTAATTCAAAGAACAGCACAGTGTTCTTTAGATTGACGGAACCTGCACATGGCTTCGTCCGTCAATTCTATTAGCTTTATATGCCTATTCCGCTTATAATGCCATGTTAGTAGACCCACTATAGCTTTATTAATAGAGTAAGATCCCAGAGCGATCAGACATAACTTATTTTCACAAGGATGAAACCTTAGCCCACGGCCACACAGAAAGCGTTTTTAGCGTTTTGCGTTTTTTGCGTCTCAAGCGCTTTTTGCGATTTTACCGTTTTAAGCGGTTTTTTCGATTTGTGCCCATTAAAAACACGCAAAAGACGCGGCAGGTCTGCAGTTTCTATTAAGATGTCAATTAGTAACGTCGCAAGCTCGTGGATTCCCGGCCCGTCCAACAATCAATCCTGTGAGAAAGAGATAAGCGAGATCGGCGCAGTTAGCGTTGAAGAGACGAAGATAAAAGATGCTGGGATTGAATTGTGGACGGGCTGGGGCATATATTCGGAGACAAACACAATCTACTGTAGTGCCAGTGGTGTGTGTAAAAATAATAATTATTATTTGCCATTTATTTTACGAATTTTAGTTTATATGTGTATAGTTTTTTATGTTGCAGTGTTGTGGTTAGTACTTGTTATAATTATAATATAATATAATAAATAATTAAAATTATATAATAGAATAGTAAATATTTCTAGTTGCTAATGCAATTTTAGGACATGATTTATGAAACATTTTGGAGTGAAACTTCTTTACACGCGCTGGGAGTAAAAATTCAAGGCCGTGACATGCGAGCTAGTGAGACGGCCCACACGAGCTTGATGTAACGAAACGTGTTAACGGCTTAGAAATACGTAGTGACGCAACGTGTATTTGTGAGCAGTCCACGTGTTTATCAAAAATATTGATATTTGAATACTTTAATACTTTACTTTAATACAAATTTTGTAAAAGTGAATCAAATTATTACGTGTAAAAAAAACACTTGTTACACGTAAAAAACTATTTTTATTATTTTATGCGAATAAAACTGTTAAAAATATTTAAAACGTAAAGAAATATTTTTTACGCGTGTAAAACTATTTGTTACTGATAGAAAACTATTTTTTACGCATATAAATCTATTTGTTACGTGTAAAAATCTATTTGTTACACGTAAAAAAACTATTTTTTTCGCGTTAAAAACTTATTGCTTCTGGTAGAAAACCTTTCTTACGCAAAAAAAATATTTTTTACGTGTAAAAAACTATTTGTTACACGTAAAAAATTATTTTTTTAATCGTCATAAACTTATTGTTTCTGGTAAAAAACCTTTTGTTGCGTAAAAAAAAATATATTTTTTATGGGTAAAAAAACTATTTGTTACACGTAAAAACTATTTTTTACGCGTCAAAAACTATTTGTTTCTGTTAAAAAAACCTTTTTTACGCAGAAAAAAAACACTTTTTACGCATAAAAAAAATATTTTTTACGCGTAAGAAAATATTCCTTTGATTTATTAATTTTTCAACATTTCAAACTATACTTTCTCAAACATTTCCTTCAAATTTTTGAATTTAATAGAATCTTCCTAAACAGTAGATGTTCTTTATAAAAATATTTTTAGATAATACCCTAAAATAAAAAAAAATGCATACTATTTAATTTATTTTTATTGTATTATTAAATATAACGTCCGCCTATGACGGGGTCTCATCTTAGAAAACGCTAAAGACGCTACAGAAAACAAACTGATTTGTTTTCATTTGCGTTTTTTGCGAGACACGCCGAACGCTACACGCTTTTGGTGTGGCCATTCCTAAATCCTGTTATTTTGTTTTAGTCGCTAAAGACGCTTCACGCTAAAAACGCAAAAAACGCTTTCTGTGTGGCCGTGGGCTTAGGCTCTCATGTGCTTTGAATACCGGCGTGTTTGTGGGGTTCGCTCTGTAAAACCTTGGCAGATACCAGGTGAGGTTTAAAGGTAACTAAAAGAAATAAATGAACTTTACTTATTTTTACATGTCTGATTTTTACATATGTTATTAAGACAGCTATTATAAAGTTATATTTAATCAGTCAGACAGATTGTAATGACCAAACATCCTCTAAACACAAATATTATTCAGCCGCGACTATGAGCGCGGGAGAAGCGTTTCCAAGTAAAGTATTTAAATATTTTAAAAATACTTATTGCTTTCGATTTAATATTTTTGCATCTCTATTTAAATAAGATTAGTTGTAAAAGTGAAAACAATACATACTTATGCAGCCGATCGGCCGACTACTTGATTGCATATCAGCACGGCTCCATAAGAATTATATTGGTTACAAATCTGCAACTAAATAGTTAGCCGACTAAGAACTGCACTTCACACCCAGGCTTGTTTTCCAATATTTCCTCTTACAGTATCCAAACTATTTAAAAACGTAAGTCAGAGAATTCAAGGTGTCTTGTTTTTCAAATTAATATTTTTTAGAAAATATGCGATAATTGTTTAGATGGTTTATATGCAATAAATTAATTTACTTTAATAATTACTAAAATTATTACTTTAATAAAAAACTTCATCTTATTTAAATAGAGATGCAAAAATATTAAATCGAAAGCAGTAAGTAATATTTTTAAAATATTTAAATACTTTACTGAGAAGCGCATAGTTCTCCCGCGGTCATAGTCCCGGCTGAATATTTTTTTTATTTAGAGGATGTTTGGTCATTACAATCTATCTGACTGATTAAATACTAACTATAATAGCTATCTTAATAACATATACAAAAAATCAGACATTTAAAAATAAGTAAAGTTCGTTTATTTCTTTTAGTTACCTTTCTCATCTGCCATCTCACAAACATGCCGGTATTCAAAGCACATGAGAGTACTACCGAGAGTCTAAGGTTTCATCCTTGTGAAAATAAGTTATGTCTGATCGCTCTGGGATCTTGGACTATAAGCGTTTTTCTGTCTTTGCTGATCAGGTGATCTGCCGTGAATTTTAGCGAATATTTTATTAAAAACTTTTTCGCCTGTCTTGTTTGTGGCTACTCTCGTAACTGCTTTTGCAACGCCGCAGAAGTGCCTATAAATTGCATTGATAAGCATTGTATTGGAAATATGTGTTCTTTGCTGACTTATTATTTCCCAAAGGAGATAGAACATCAATTAATATTCATCTTTATCAAGGAAGATCTCAACGACTTTGTTATGAATATTTTCATAAAATAAAGTGGACAGAAAGACAGAATTTCAGTTATACTATGAGAAGAAAATACCCTATTTGATATAAAAAACTACAATAGTAAAATCGCAACCAAACTTTATAGTAAATAAAAAATCACATGCAGATTAAATGTGAAATTACCAATCTCATGAGAACAGCATAACCTAAACGCGAAAATAGTCGTTAACGGTATCACATTACAAGTTATGTTTAGAGCGAATAAAAATAATTACTCTTTAGAAAATACCTTTCATGAAGTGAAATAAAAATAAGAGTTATATCTTTAGCGCATTAAAATCAAGTACATACCACGTTCAATAGCTTGCACTAGTCTTTTTGCAGCTAACGACCAAGCATTAGCACAAATTCCATAAAAATCTGCTCCAGTAATATTATCTGGACAAGACTTCACGATGTTCTTCAAATTAACATCATCTGATATATTAAATCTAAAATATGTATTATAAATTACAAGAAAAAAAACAGACATAACTCTATAAACGTACTTCCTTGTTAAGGCTTGTAAAACAGAAACTTTGGATTGAAGATCTGTGCATGGTCCGACGTACAACAGTTTGTCAAATCTTCCTGGTCTAAGTAAAGCTGGATCTATTAAATCTGGCCTATTTGTAGCGCCTGGAAATAAAGCAAGTCAAGCTCTTTTTATTCAATCGACAAGACGATTTAGAAATTGTCGTTTTACCACGAAAATTAATTGACTATTTTTAATTTTTTTTCATATTTATATTTTTTACACATTTCCCAGTGTTCTATCTCTAGCCGATTTTGAATACTTAAAAAAAAAATTATATATTTACAACTGCAAAAGTTCTTTAGATGTTTTTTACCTAAAGCTTATTAGAATAAAGTGCTTTTCAAAAAAACTTGTGTTTAATTAAAATAAACTATTTTAACATTGTTATTATTCATACCTATAACAAATACTTTTCCATTACTATCTAATCCATCCATTTCTGCCAAAAGCTGAGAGACAACTCTATCCATAA